TGATTTTAGTCTGAGAAGCAAACAACTCACTCGGGAAGGAAAGACAGCGTATAATGAGTCGGTCATGACGCACAAATGCTTATTAAGGGATTGAAAATGAACCAAGGAGAATAATCACCAAATGTAATCCCTGGACCCTAGCAGTTAGACTACCATCAAGAGGTGTGAATATGCCATTACCCTTCAAAATAACATTGAAAGTTCGGTAAAGGCTAGCAAGAAAATTCCTTTGAACACGCAAATCCACAGAGTAGCTGGTATAAGATCGAGCTATTTGATGGCTGAGCACAGACCAAATGATAATGAAGTAAACCAACTGCAATGGGGAAGCAAATTCGAGAAAATGCCAATGCCCTTTTGTGCATACACGATGACTCAGCAATGGTAATAAGGTATATTAGTTGTGGTCGTCTGTTATGAATAATCAACTAGACAGCTCTAACAAATGTAAGAGATAGGGGAAACTAGGGGAACACAACATCTATAAGTAAATGTACACAATTGGCAAGACCAAATCAATCAAACTAAATTGAAAATATACTACAAACGGTAAAAATACTGATAAAGTAAATCCAAGAAACGGTCATATCGGTTCAGCAGGATCAAAAAACCTAATTCAAACTCTTCCAGCTCAACCAACAATACCTCTCCAACACTGGGATAATCTGTTTCCACAGAGTTGTGCCATCCGAGATACTTCAATGACTTGTTGAATCTGTCCGATTCGAAAGTGAGCTGACACGTCTTGGGCGGTGGTTTGATCAAACCTGCGAGACGACCATCTCCAGCCAAATGAAAACCACCATCAGTTGCAAAGAGGACTATTTTACGGGCATTTTTTCGCCAGCCGATGTATTCAGGACATCGGGCAACCTGGAGGAGAGCATCCAGCCCTCCTTCTGGACTATCCAAATTCCCTGACGGCTGGAAGAGGCAAGGATAAGGAGGATAAGATAAGGCGTCTAGATTTATTATAAAAATTTCTTTGTAAACTCACCCGCGACAAAATAGTCTTTCGTTCAAACTCGGCGAAATCACCAGTAAGAGAGAGAATGTGTTTGTAGAGGAAGGGTGGATCGCATTGGAGATCTTGATTACCAAC